CTTTGGCCCGCGGCCCCTTCCATCCTCTTCAGAGTACATCACTGGCACCTCTGCTTCCCTCCTGCCCAGGACACCTGTAATTACACTGGGCCCACCCAGGTGATCCAAGACAATCTCTCTATCTCAAGATCCTGAACTTAAACACGGCTTACACTTACCCCAGGTAACATAGTCACACACGCCGGGGATTAGGATATGGACATCCCACCACATTTTTTACGAAGTGCACCTGAAGTAACTTAGACAGGTGTAACTGACACCACCCCTTGTCCTCTGCTCTCCCAAGAATACTTTTAAGGAGACTTTACTAAGGAATCATGGACAAAAGTTAAAAAACAACTTAAAGGCCAGGCGCAGTGGCTCATGCCTGTAATCCCAGTGCTTTGGGAGGCTGAGGCTGGTGGATCATAAGATCAGGAGTTTGCCTGGCAAACATGGTGAAACCCCATCTCTACTGAAAATACAAACAATTAGCTGGGCATGGTAGCAGGCGCCTGTAATCCCAGCAACTCAGGAGGCTAAGGCAGGAGAATCGCTTGAACTCGGGAGGCAGAGGCTGCAGTGAGCCAAGAAGTACCATTGCACTCCAGCCTGGGTAACAGAGAGAGACTCCATCTCAAAAACAAACAAAAAACCAAACAATTCAAAAGGCCAAAATAACAGGAAGTGTGCGGCTAGTTTCCCAGGATTGCAATTTACTTTTAAACGTACTGAACAACTGTGAAGTTCTCCTTGAGATCTGAAATATTATGATACCTATGTGAGACTCTGACTGCACCCTAACACCCTCAAGTTCAGGGCAACGGGTGAGGGGTATCTGACACCCAGCTCAAGTCTCAGCCTCTGCCCAGCCTGGGTCCGGAGCCAGAAGAGGTCCCCACAGACTTGGGCTCAGCACGGCCTCCCCAGGAAGGTTTCTTCATCGGTGGTGGTGATGATCAAAGCTGATAGCTTGCTCAGTAATCGGGAAATACTTTCCACATTTGCTCACCAAATTTCCTAGGAACCGGAGAACATTTCTACCTCCTCCTTCTGGCAAAATGAATCCCTGTGAAAATGGCTAATGAGGTACAGTAGAACCCAGTGCCACAATCCTTGCTACTGCTAAATTAGAATTCACTCAAGGTTAAACTGCGTTCTTTGAAGCATAACTCAACACAGTAACTGTCTAACATATCCGTTCAGAAAAGACCCTCCACTTTGGTATGAAATAGAAGCAGTCTTTTTAAAAATAAAACTCGGTGGCAGTAAGTCAAACTGTAATCGTAGGAAAGATACTTTACAGGGAATTCTTTCTGGCTGAAGGCCCTGCCGTCCCCTAGGGCTGCTGGGCAGTCCGCTGACAGATGATCACAAGGATTAGATCTTGTCCTTTGCGTTCAACAATGAGTCTCTATGTTCCTGAGGCAACCAAACATGGACAATGTTCTGTTCATCAGCCTGTCCTTCTCTACTCCCTTAAACCCTCCAAACGGTGGTGGATACCACAGCACGGTACGAAGTCCAGGTGTAATCCAACATTAACTGTCAGGGTCAACTTACAGGAGAGCTCATTATGAGCCATGTTCTCAATAAGGTGCTGTCATCTAAGCTTGTAACACGCCTGAGGTCGGTGGCATCTGCTATTTGCCCACTTAAGCAGGAAGGGAGGTACCTAAGTCGTCTGAGGTCAGTAGCACACCCGGCAAGGACTGGCATGCAAATCCGGGGAGGGTGACTTAAGTCCCGGCTCTTAGCTACTACTGTGTTGCGAACCTGTAACCTGTAATGGTGTGACTTGAGTCCCAGCCCTTAGCTCCTGTGGTGTTGTGAGGCTGTAACCTTTAACAGCCTAACATTTCTTGTGACTAATCCAAAAGGAATGAAGAAAGGAAATTCTTCGCTCTTTTCTAAATATATTTTTCGGGGCACTCTGTATGCTGGCCAGAGGGGATTTGAATAAAGCCAAGTAAAAGGTAGTTAGGTCCTGCGGTGATGAGCAAAGAACAGGGCTGTAGAGTGGATTAAGGGGTCTGTTCCGTCTGGGGTCAGGGAAGGCTTTCTGGGGCAGCAGAGACTTCACTGTGACACATCCAGGTGCCCCGGGAGGTTCACAAGGAGGGGAATAACATGGCTATTCTGGCCAATCTGGCATAGGGATCTTTGAGGTGAGGGGCACCTTCAGTGGCATCTATTGGCTTAGACTCCGCCCTCAGCTCAACTGCACTGGGCTCCCAGGGCAACTGCCAAGAAAACAATGCTCCCCTTACGCAAAATGCCCACATAGCTTTCAGACCTACAGTGACGCTACTCTCAGGAAATAAGACAGGAATGTGGCTTTACACGAGTCCTCCTGGGTCACCCCATGCGTCTCCGTAAGCCCCTGGACCTTAAAATGCCTTTTCTCTTCACCGTTCCTCTGCTCTGCTTCACAGTAGCTATTATATGCTTCTCAGGCACAATTTAAAGCTGTTTTCTAGATTTACTAAACAGTTCTTAAGTGGAATGTTAAATTTTTAAAACAATCAGTCTTCTGTGTGGCCATCCCCTAATATATATCTTTTCCTGTCGGTGACTCTCAGGAACCAACATGAAAGCTTTCTCACCTCACATTTCAATTTGTTTCTGCTGGGCACAGTGGCTCATGCCTGTAATCTTAACACTTTGGGAGGCCAGAGTGGGAGGATCACTTGAGCCAGGAGTTCAAGACCAGCTTGGGCAACATAGGGAGACCCTGTCTCTAAAAAAAAATAATAATAATAAATTAAGCAGGTGTTGTGGTGCACATCTGAAGTCTCAGCTATTCAGGAGGCTGTGTGGGAAGGATCGCTTGAGCCCAGGAGGTCAAGGCTGCAGTGAGCCATAATCAGGCCACCGCACTCCAGCATGGGCAACAGGGCAAGACCCTTTTTCAATCAATCAATCAGTTTGCACCAATAAAACCTTGCCAACCCAAGTCACTCCTCTGCCCTTAGTACAGTCCCTCCTGTCACAAACAAGGGACCTGATTTCTCAAAATATAATTTATGTCAAAATATCTAAGTAAACCTAACGAATGTAACAAGAATTCTCTATTAAGCTGGCAGCTATGGCTTGTAAAAAAGAAACTCATCTTAAAAGTTATCTTCTGTCCTAAGATCTCTCTAAAACTCACAGCTTAAATGAAGCGTAATGACATTTATGTAACTACCAATCCATGAAAAAAAATTGAAACTACCTGAAATCATAAAATTTAATCTTCTAAAATAACGTGATCTACTTCTAAGGGTCTAATAACACAGACCCTGAAGCTATGACAAATAGACAATATAATCACACTAATACAGGCCTAATGGACTGTACTGAAAACCCGAGCAGTCCTTGCATTTTAAATAGGTGTGTGATACTGCTGTTTGCACAAGGAACCTCTGTGTCTCTTCTCTAATTCTCACAGCGAATTCTAATTACGCAGACCATCAAAATTATTCAGACTTACACTAGATAGCATCTTCAATTTTCTACTTGGTAAAGGCTTGTTAGGCATATAGAAAAACTTATTAATTAACTCTAAGTTACATTCCTGGTAGAGCCCAGTGATTCCTTCAACTTATTAAGTTCCCTAGTGACTTCGATATGATCTCACTATGACTCGTAAGCATGGGTCAAATTATTCACTTGGCAGCCTTTTCCTAGCTCTAATCATATTCTAGAGAGGTTTCTCACGTTGATGCTTTCCATCAATAAGTTTCTCATCATTCCACTTTTCAGATGAAACCTAAGGGTACACAGGCAGATTTAAGGAAAAGCCAAAAGAAGCAAAATTGTGAATATGTACCACACTCCTCACTAGATGTGACAGCAAGGGACAATTTTGCAGACCCAGCCTCTGGTCCATGGCCTATATCCATCCAGAGGCAGTATGAAGTGATTCATGGTGACTCTGTCTACAGGACAAGGTGGATCCTTCTAGTGCTCCTGCTTCCCTCATTTCTAAACCAAATGGCTCCAATGGATGTGTTTTAACCTCCTCTAAGATCCTAAGGTCCCTTAGCTTACAGCAGACATAAAGGTATCATGGGATGTAGCAGACAATGAATGTAATAACCTTTTTTTCTGAGAATAATCTATTTTTCTTTCTCTGACACTGTTACGTGGGTGATCACTGAGGAGCAGTGCTCTCATCTGATGGGGCAGTCCCAGGGCGGGGGGCGGGGGGATACAGCTTTCCTTCCCCTTCCAAAACCTCTGGGGAAGGGGAGCAGGGGCAACTCCATCCAGTTCTAGCCTGACCTCGTGGAGGAAGTCTGTTTTCAGAGTATTCTCAAGAGGAACTCAGGGAGATTAAATAAGCAACGAAGAACAGCCTCTAGAATGGCTCTGGGGAAAAGGAGCCATCCTGTCCCTTTTTGCCCTTTCCATGAGAAAATGCATCCTTCTTCCCACCTCTGCCTCGTACAGCCACATTTCTAGACAAGTGCTCTCTTTAAGTCCCTGAAGATGAACAAAGCCTCCACGCCGCACGAGGGTGGGCTTCCTTCCCACGGCCACTGCACAGCCCCAGGCTCTACCAGGCTCCAGTCTTGGGATGCAGAAATCATGGAAAAGTCTTATAAAGACACCAGACACTGGGAGAATCTCTGCCACAGTCCCAATTATGTCCTCTTTGAGAAAGGGCCCCATTTTTTAAGAAGTAAAATACTCATTAAATCCCCTAGCTCGGTGGACTGCTGCCGGTGTCTCCCTATCTAACTGTAGCAGTTTGCCAAGCACAGGACTCCAGAGATAGGCAGGTGGGGCCACCTCCTCCGGCCTCACCCACCTCTGCTCCCTCCAGCCCACCCACGCCTCCAGCTGCGTAGTTGACTCACCATCCAAACAGCAGCTTCCCCCAGAAAGTAGACCAGGGCTCAATGGCAATTCTTGTGGCAAATTTAATAGAAGAATATGAGAATCACCCTTACTTCCCACACACAAAACATTGCAGGCACTCCAAATCCTTACAGACACATGCACTTCAGAATTAACTCAGGCATGCACAGCATCCCTGTGCTGGAGTTTATTTTAAAAAACAATGCCAACGCCTCAGTGATCACAGTTTCTTTTTTTGTCCATCATTTTCCGTAACAAAAGAAGCTACACAAAATCTGGGGGGAGATACTGTCTTTGGAGACTGACACATTTGCAGAGGGGTCACGAATAATGATTCCAAAGCTCCTATTTAACTCCTGAATCAGGCAAAGAATAAGCGACAATACAAGAATGAATTTTGTTTACAGCAATCTCATAATACAGCATTGAATCGTTACAGTGCAGTGGTTGGAATTAAGTCCACAATAAAATATTCTTAGCCCAAACACCAGACAAACTAAAATCACCCAACTGCTCATGAACCAAAATGATCAGTGCAAGCAGCTGCGGTCTCAATAGTGAAAACCAAAATGGGTAAGGCTTTTCTGGCAGTGAGTCTCTGACGTGAACGGCTCCCTCTCTGCTCAGTGAGGACCTGGCCGCCCTCACTTGGAGTCTTGGTCTTTCTTTTCATCTAAAAGGGCGGAGTGGATCCCCAGCTTTTTCAGTTCTTCCACCAGGTCCCCATTCTGGTGCATCTGCAGAAGAATGTCACAGCCCCCCACAAACTCGCCATTGAGGTACACTTGCGGGATGGTGGGCCAGTTGGAATAGTCTTTAATGCCTATGGAGAAAGAACATTTATTTGTTATTTAAATGGTGAAAGCTGAACCTTTCGTGATTAAATATGTCATTCTGATCCACTAGTAGCAGACAACCCATTGTCCCTCCCTGGCTCCCCCCAATCTTAAGAGCACTGTGTTTGCTACTAAGAGCACGAGTTTTCGTGTCAAAGAGATCAGTGGTTAGGCCCTAACTTCCAATTACAAACCATCCACCCTCAGACAAGTCACCTGACTTCTCATCCTGTTTCCACCCTCATCTCGCAAGGTTTTTGTGAGAATTAGGTAAGTAAGATCCTCAATAAAATACCTGATATACTGCAGATTAATGGCAGAGGACTGGACTGGGTAATGCAAGTCACATAAGATACATAAGGCCGTAATTCTTCATCTACTAGTCAAGCTTCAGGTGAAGCAAACTTGAAGAAATGTCACAACCAACTTCATACCTAAATGGATCCATCACGGTAATTCACGGCCAATTCGGGCAATCCCACCTGTGCGCTTTTCATGACTGTGACTGTCTAGGTTGGTGCAGGCCATCAGTTACTTCTGCTCGAGATGATGAGTTGCTGAGTTTTTTTTTTTTTTAACAATTACTTTTACCCAGGGAAAAATTCCTGTCCCACGGCTATGGGTTGTCAGTTCCCCTCTATCCAGCCACTGTGATGGGCTCTCTGTGGAGTGGATGATCAGGCTCTGTGCAGAACCCAAAGAGACTGGTAAGTCTAATGAAGGCCCAGAGCTCAGCAAGGGCCCTGTCCAGGGCTAGGGGGTTCGGGGGCTGAGACCCGCTCTGCTCTCCAGAGCTCACAACAGCCAAGAAACCAACCAGCAAGCATGTGATCAGTCCTGTGTGCAAATGGCTCTGAGGACACAGAGGAGATGAGGGATGCTCTGTGACAGCGCAGCTGTGTGACTACTCTGTTCAATTCTGAGTCACAAGGACGACGACTGTAACAAAATGGTAAGAAAGAAATGTGGCTTCAATCTTAAGACATAAAAGATTACTCTTAACATTCCTCTTCATCATTCTACTTCCTTTTCTGCTTGTATGTTGAGATGACTGTCCTTTCAAAAACATAGCTGGCCATTAAAAAGCCTGTATTGGTCATGTTAAAAACGAAGATGGTCAAAGCATGGCATATAGGAACTAACTCTTATGTGACACTTTTATATTTACACAGATATTTTTAAATGGCCAAAATGAGCATATGGGTAAACAAAACAGAAAAGTCAATAGATTGTTCAAGTATAGTACAGTTTACACAAATTGATTTTTATGTAAACAAACTAAAAATACAAAAACTTGCTCTTGATACCCTATAATTTATTATCATTTTCCAAATAAAATTACTGATTTCAGTTATATCACAAGTCCCAATATACAATTTATTTTTTTCTTAAAAGTTATTGCCTTATAAAAAAAAACTGACTTTGCTCTAAATGACAGTCCTAGAGAAAGCCCCTGAACCAAGGGCTTTATCTTCCTTCTCCAGATGTCACATATTAAGAAAGGGTTACATTGCTCCAGGCCTCCAACAGCACACCTCTCAGCCACTCTGGGTGCTGGTAAAGAAACATCAGCTAGCTCTTTGGCAGCTGCTAATAAAGGGTAAATTCCATTAATCATCAAAATGTCTTTATAATGCCAAATATCTAGATATACTAGAATACCCTGATGAATTCAAGTTATTCATCACGCTGATGTTTGATGCCATGTCAACAAAAACAACTAGCATAATTTGTGTGTTTTTTACTTTCTTCAAACTCTGTCCTCAAATACAAAGTCTATCAAAACTTACTTTTTACAATGATGCCGATTACAAACTTTTACCTTTATGATGATTGAGAGCTGGGTGCGAGATTAAGAAATGTTTAAAGTAAACATGAGCTTCTTTTCGTTCTCTTAAACTTTCTTAAATACCTTTTATGCAAATGAATCATTTATGTGCATGAACGATCTGTTTTGTTTCAATGAGTAATATATTGCATGAAGCTTTCCATAATAATCAGTTTTTACTGATTTATTTTGGTGGGTGTCTATAATTTTTGAAACACACCAAAAATGGAAATAAGTTTGCTGCCTGAGAACTACCCAAAACTACGTTTTACCCTAAAAATACATGTTTCTAAAGTAAAATTGCTTTTCATCAATCATTTTTATAGTATCACACTCAAAGCATTGGGCTTGCCTCATTCATTAAACTTTATGTTGCTGCAGATTGTATGTCCTGACTATGAGAGAAGGGGAGACTCCCAGAATCCTCACCACCAAAACTACCAAAACCAGCAGGCTTTCAGACATTCTGAACACCCAACACACACAGCCACATGCAAGTGATACTAACTTCTCGTGAGCCACCTGCCTGTTCTTGACAGCAGCTGACAGTGTATCAAAATTAAATTTAGCTGTTTCTTTAATTTTTAGATGAATAGGTATAACAAGCAGCTGACATCAAGGCCAAACGTTGGCACCCTTCTTCATGACTATGCTATTTTCCATTTTTAAGAAAACTGATTACCAGTTTAAATATTTAAGGAAATAGCCAATTGCTTCCTACGGAGTGAAGCTGAGAAACTCCTAATAATAAAAGACTACTCTTCATAAGTTGAATATTAAAATGAATCCTGCGGACTCACAAGTAACTGTTTAAACATGGTTAATCTCTCTCACACTTTAGTTTTCAAAAACTGCAATATGCAGTGGTAGTTCTTACAAATATCACTTGAAATAACTCAGAATCGGAGAGCTACTCTCGAAAATTAGAAAATCATATCCAAGAATGAATTTTAATGATAATCATTATTTCATACGTGATAGACAGTGGTGATTCCATCCGGGGCAGAAAATGCTGACTGCAAAGTTGTATGACAGAGTAACACTAGGAACTGGTAGTTCGGAGGCTATCTTACAAAGTCAGTTTACGCACATCTAATGCTCCACCAAAAAAACCCATACCAACAAATTTATATTCCAAAGTATCAACTCAGAAAGAGGACAGAAATGTACTTTAAAATTCCCTTCCAGAACTTTCAAAAGGTATTTTTCAAAATTCATCACATTCAGAACACTGGACAATACTCCTGGTTTGGACACTAAATTATAAGAGCAGCATAATCATAGTTTTCTTTCTTTTTATTTTTCCTGGTAGAACTTCACTACAGTAGCTTCAGAATCTAATGTGAGTTCCAACTCTGTCTCTTACCTACTAGGCTCTGTGACCTTGGGCAAGTTGCACCACCTCTGAGAGTCACAATTTCTTCATATTACCTAATTTAGAGAATGGCGTTAAGTCAAGATAAGATGATCAGAGCTGAAAGCATGGACATCAGTAGACCCTCACTAGAAGAAAAGCAAAGCACAGGGCAGAGTGGGCAAGGCACAGGCTTAAGGGTCAGTAGATCCAGTTTGCTAGCCTGTAAATGCAGCCTCAGACAAATCTGTTAATCTCTTAGCCTCAGTTTCCTCATCTGTAAAATGGGAATATACTCTACGCCTCGCAGATTTATTACGAAGATTCCATGATATCTAATGAATGAAATGAATTGAGCTCCTAGCATAGTACCAGGTACAGTGTGGACATTCTCTCCATACCAACATCCTCCACCACCCACCCTTCTGAGAAAAATAGGCAACAGAAAAAGCATAGGAAAATAATGCAGGAAAAAGTGATTAAGTATACCATAAAGTAATAAAAATACCATTCAGGCCAGGTGCGTTGGCTCACACCTGTAATCCCAGCACTTTGGGAGGCCAAGGCTGGTGCATCACCTGAGGTCAAGAGTTCAGACTAGCCTGGCCAACATGGTGAAACCCTGTCCCTACTAAAAATCAAAAAAAAATTAGCCAGGCATGGTGCCAGGCACCTGTAATCCCAGCTCCTTGGGAGGCTGAGGCAGGAGAATCGCTTGAACCCGGGAGGCAGGGGTGGCAGTGAGCCAAGATTGCCCACTGCACTTCAGCCTGGGCAGCAGAGTGACACTGTCTCAAAAAACAAAAAACAAACAAACAAAAAAACCATTTACTGAGTTAAGGATTACTGAGTTTCACACTCTTTAAGCGTTTTACAAAAATAATCTTATTTAATCTTTACAAAAATCTGACAAGGCAGGTACAATTATCACTACTTTACAGATGAAGAAAGTAAGGCTCAGAAGGGTTAAGTAACTTAACAAAACTCACAGTGACAGCATGCAGTGAAACCAGGATTTATATCCCTCACCAGAGGTGGCCTCTACCCTCTAGCTGCCATCTGTCACTCCTGCCCATGAGCTACAAGTGCATTGCACACATATCTGCAATATATGGGACTGTTTTATATCTTTAACATTTACATATACAAATGGTATTATGCCATAATTACATGTTTGCTACTTGCTTTTTGACTAAACATTGTATTTTTGAGCCATGTTAAATACCATGTTAAATGTATTTAGCCATGTTAAATACATTTTAACATGGCTATGTTAAATACATTCAGCCACGTTAAATACAACTAGATCTAGTTTATTTTAACTACCGTTTACCTTTCCATCATATGACTAAAGTTTATTTATCCGGTCTGCTACTAATAGACCAAGATCCCTTCCTGTCAGTTTTTCATTACTGCAAGCCACGCTACAGTGAACGCCCCGACACAGGTATCCTAACACAGAGCTCCCCAACCTTTTTGGCACCGGGGACTGGTTTTGTGGAAGACAATTTTTCCATGGACCGGGAAAGGGTGGGGATGGCTTCGGGATGAAACTGTTCCACCTCACATCATCAGGCATTAGTTACATTCTTATAAGGAATGCACAACCTGGATTCCTCGCATGTTTGTGCTCCTATGAGAACCTAATGCCGTCACTGATGTGACAGGAGGTGGAGCTCAGGCAGTAAAGCTTGCTTGCCCACCGCTTACCTCCTGCTGTACGGCCTGGATCCCTGGCCTGGGGGCTGGGGACCCATGTCCTAACACACCCATGCAGAAGTCAGTCTCTAGGCCAGGGGCAGATAAACTGTAGTCTTCAGGCCAATTCCAGTCTACTTCCTATTTTCGTAAATAAAGTTTTATGGAAACTCAGCCTGCTCATTCATCTACATATTGCCCATGACTGACTTCACGCTATCTAACAGCAGAGTTGAATAGATGCAACAAAGACCACCTGCCTACAAAGCCTGACATACTTACTCTCTGGCCCTTTACTAGGGTAAGTTTGCAGATCCCCTTCTCTAAATATATACCTAGGAGTCACGCAGCTGGGTCTTAGGCTCTGTTCACCCATAACTTGACTGGGTACTGACAGTTACTCCTCCAAAGTGTTGGTGCCATTTTATACTACCATCTGCAGCTTACTACATGTGCACCACACAAACACATACACACAACTTGTCATCCAACTTTTAAGGTTCACCAGCATGACACGTGTTTCACTACTGTCTTCAATTCCCTGATACTGAAAAGGTTGAGCGTATTTTCAAATGCTTAATAAAATTTCAACAATAGGATATGGTTATTTATTTCACAAATATTTGAGTCCCTATTCTGTCACTGTTCCAGATGCAAGGACTACAATGATGATCTAAATCGGCAGCAAAGGTTTATAATGTATTTAAGGCCACAGAGTTTGCAATATAATGACAAATAAAAGCAGCATTTATTTATTTATTGAAATGCTCACTGAAAGCTTGCTTTGCATAAGCCGTACATGCAGTGCCACAGGCATCAGACATGTTCCCTGGAGGGCAAAATACTACGTATAGACAAGCATGGTCTCGATGTGTTTTAAAAAAAAGCTGTTAGGAACTAGATCCAAATGTTAATACAATGGTTTCCATAAAATTATAGGTGATTTTCCTTCTTAAACTTTTCAGTGTTTTCCAAGTTGCTTCCATGAGCATACGTTCCTTTATTAAGACTAGGATTAGGAAGCGATGTCAGTCTACTGGGACCTGATCCCTCTGTGACTGTCTTCTGTGTGCACTCCAGATAAAAAGAGAAGTACAGGAAGGTCTTGAGAAGGCCAGAACACAATGCTGCCTCATAGTCACCTTTGTTCCTTGGGTCACAGTCTTAAGATCTGTCTGCATCACACTCCTGGGAACCAAGTACCCAAAACTAGGAAAGAATGTTTTCCTCTGGTTTGGGCGCTTTGTAAAGTTCAGGTCTCCTTGGCATAAGAACCAACACAAGGCCAGTTTTGCAAGAGCTCTGTTCCTATTACTAGAAATGACCTTAGATCTGGTGTACACAGCTTTGGCTGGCAAAAGCAAGCATCAGACAGCCCATTAGTTGCTCTTGGTAAATAAAGCTGTATAGAGAAGAGGGGAAGAGTCTTATACCCTGGCTGAACTAATCCCCATTTTGGGAACGTGCTTTTACCACCCTGCCCCAGTCCAAATGTTAATACTTACACTAATCTTTACTTTTCTAATCAATAAAAGAGGTATATGTTATATTCAATATCTATACAACACATTTATTAACCAAAATAGCAATCTGATGAAACTCACTGGTCAAGGAATGTAAGGGTTAAATTCCTGTTGCTGCTGTTTGAATACTTAAGAAAGTAAACTCCGAAACCAGACACCAGACATGGATAAAAGACAGAAAAATAAAATGGTATCAGTACATATTCTTATTTTTGCTCCTACTTTCAGTTTATTAGCTATATTCCAGCATATCTCATTTCCAGTTATATTAAACAAGAGAAAATAAAATCACAAACCAAAGACCTCAAAACATTATACTAAGCGAGATAACAACACAACTTTTTTACTAGTGCCATATTGGCAATTTGCAGCGGACCCCCTGCAAGGTCTCTGTTAAAAGACTGCAAAACAGTTACTCCTCTTTTAAGCAGAGAAGCTGTCTTTGAAGGAAGACTGCAGGTCCTTTGCCTTGTACATGATAAAACTGAGCCCAGTAACTGGTGGCATTCTAGTTGACCAGGAAGACAAAAGGGTCATGAGAATAACACATGGCAATATTACATATACGTGGTAATTTGAACCTGCCCTGTCAACTCCTCAACTTAACATGCCTTCTAGGTCCCACCCACACCACTATCACCTACAGCAAATGCAAGATCACTCATCACCAAGAGTCTTTAAGGACTAGATAATCTGGGAAAAAATACGTTTGAAAACCATAAAGTGCTATATGAAGCCAGCTACCATTTACCGGGTGCTTTCTGTGACAGGTAAGATGACATACACTTTCTGTAATTTTCACTTTGTCTTCCTAACAAAAACTTTGCCAAATTGTCTCATTATCCTCAAATGCAGTTGAGTGACTTAAGTTTTACACCTGATTAGCCACAAAAGAGGATTTCAACCCAAAGCTTTTCCAAACACCAGCCTGTCTCATCAATGTAAGGAATGACTATGGTTAGTAATTTCAAATTTAGAGTAACAGAGAACCTGGCACCTACTTTTAGCACACACCTGGCACCTCTTTCTAGCTAGGGACATGCAGGGACTCAGTCTCTGAAAGTCTCTAACTGGGATGCAGGTACCCTAAGTCACTCTCTAGAAGAACAGGTACAGCCTTCCCAGTTCTCCACCAACCCTGACCATCCTGGCCTCTTCCTCCTCCCCCACTCAGATAAGACTGGCGAATGCACGCGGGGTACTTGGAAAAGATGCTAATTAGCTGCAGCCTCCCCTCTCCTGGCCTGATCCATCTGGCCCCTGGTCCCCTGGGCTCCGAGGCTGAGCCAGTGAGTTAGTCCGGCGCCCAGGAGCCAGGGCTGCTTCTTTTCCCCACAAACCTCTCCAAGCCCTGGCCCACATACATTCAGCCCTGTGTTTGAGTATCTAAAGCCAAATGTCATGACTTTTCCCCGACAACACAGATCCCGACTAAGACCAGCCGACAGCAGTCCCAACCCTTTGCTTGTAGCAACCAGAGGATGGTGCTTGCCACCCTGAGCCGTGCGCCAAGAGAGATCAGCCTCCGACCTCACTAGCCTCAAAGACAACTTCAGTCCTCTCCCCACCATCGACAGCCCCAGACCGTTACCCACGAGCAGGCCAATGGCTTCCAACCTCCCCAGAGTGTCCGCCAAAGTACCTATCTCACAGCGGGTCCTTACTGAGTTTCCTAACCGTGCAGAGCAGTCAGGCTGCAGGCCGCCCTCCTCCGAGTCAGTCATTGACAAGCCGCCCCGAAACGCCTATATTAGCTCGAAGTGAGGATAACTGAACCCTCAGGACTTGACCTACTGCTCAAGTTGGCAACAGTAGAGAGCCCCAGATCCTCAAGACTCAGTCAAATCAACCACACCTGCAGCCCAAACTCTACTCCAGGACAGTACTCCTCGCCCTAACCCGGCTCGAACCTCCAGACAGACCCCAGCCGATGGAGCCCCGCTCTCCAGCCCGGCGCGGCAGAACCCCTCGGCCTCGTGCAGCGCTGCTCCTGGGCCCAGGGCGGAGGGTGCCTGCCCGGCACACTGGCCTGACCTTGTCGGAGTTCGGGGTCGTCCAGCACGTTGTAGGCCGCGTAGTCGCGGACGCCGTGCAGCCGCAGGATCTGCACCACGGCGTTGCTGAAGCCGCACTGGGGCTGCTCCGGGGTCCCCTTGAGGAAGACCACCACCTTGTCCTTCTTCACCAGCGCGTCCAGCTGCTCCGCCGAGCCGCCGCCGCCCGCGCCCGAGCCCGCCGCCCGCACGCCCGGACCCCAAAGGCCACCGCCGCCCGTGCCGCGCCCCCAGCGGAGCAGAGCCGCCGCCGCTCGGCCGAGGGACCCGCTCATCTCCGCACGCTCGCCGGAACCCACGACAGCCCAGACACACAGCTGGCCACCCGGAGCGCTCCCCGGCCCGCGGCAGTTCGACCCACCCCCTAGAGACCCTCATTGGACCGGCTCTAAACTGCCCTCCGTGATTGGACAACACTGATCGGCAATTACTCGATTCTACCAATCACGTTGCTCGTCCCGTCCGGCAGGTAGGAGGTGGGCCTTATGCCTGAGTCGCATCCTACTGCCTTACTATTGGCCGTCGGCAACCGCTTTGCTAGTTAATTGGAGAGAATGGATGTCCATCGGGGTCGCGCTTGCAGGGCAACGAGAGGCAAAACAAGAGGGAAGACGACTTTCCTCCCGTGAGCCAATGAGGCCAGCTGGGATACCCTGAGACAACTGGGAGAGGCGCGGGACTTGCCCATTCCGCGGATGCCGGGAAGGGGTCACTTCCCAAAGAAGTTTCCGGTTCCGGTGTCGGCGGTGGTTGAATTGCCATGGCAACGCGGTTGGTGGGCCCGTGGTTCCGGTCTCTTGGGAGGTAGCGGAGCTAGGCCGGGCCAGTATCCGCGTCTCCCAGCTTAGGTGGGCGTCCCTGGGCGCCTGCGGAGCGCCGCGGCCGAATGCGGTTCGTCGTGGCGGAGAGCGGGAGCCTGACCGGGGTTCCAGCGCTCGGGCTGTAGCCTCGGCTCCTGGACCCTCCCTCGGCTCCGCCGCCACGTGGGAGCTGAGGCTCTGGGGCTTCCGCCTCCGGCGCGCGATTATTTCTCTAGAACAATTTTCATTTTTAAAGTTTGTAAAGCGCTTTTGCCTGTGTGATTTCCTCTGGGTTTCGTTTTTCTTCCTTTCTTTTTGTAGAGACGGAAGTGGGGGGGGGGAGGGTGGTCTCACTTTGTTGCCCAGGCTGGTCTCGAACTCCTGGCTTCAAGGGATCCTCCTGCCTCGGCCTCTTAAAGTGCTGGGATTACAGGCGTGAGCCACCGCGTTCGGCCGCCTCTGAGTTTCCAGCCTCGTTGGTCCTCCAGCCTTTTAAGCTGTTGGGCCTAGGATCAGGAAAGGTTTGTTGAATGGGGAACTAAGAAGTGACTTCGTTCGTTCTACAAACGTCTCCTGAGCAGCCGCTGGGTGCTAGGTGCGGTGCCAGCGCGGAATGTCCAGGGAGACCTGGTGCCCAAAGCTTGGAGCCAGCGTGACAAATGAGAAGCAGATACAAAGCAGTGTGGGAGTGCAGAGGAGGGAAAGCAAGCCTCCTTAGGCCCATTGCTTGTGCTAGTCTCCCTTGTTCTTACCAGTGTTTGACAATATACAGGATTTACTAGCTTGGTTATTGACTTCTCTACCCGGCACTCAACTTTATTCACTGCTGTATCCTCAGTGCCTAGTACGGTGCTTGGAACGTGGTAAGTGCTCCTATTGGCGGGAAGAATAAATCCGGAAGAGCAGGACCAGTGGATTTATATAATCTGTAGTCTTGGAGCCGCATGGGGTTGGTAGTACCCTCTAGCACACCAGACTTGCAGAAAAAGCATACTCCAGAGGAAGCTGAGGCATGCCTGCTCGAGAGCCAGCTGTTCCATGTGCAATTTTCCTCTGATAGTTTCTGGTCACTGTTGCCACGGTGATAATGACTGGGCTATGTCATTATCTATCCGCCAACAGTAAGATAAGCTTTGCAGTCGAGATATTGTTTAGCAGATGGAGTGTTTTCTGTTGGACACTAAGTACTGCTACAAGTTACTCCTTTTTTTTAAACTTTGAGTATTTTTTTACAGTGTTGTTGGAGGTGATCTGTTTATGCTTTGGGAGTGTTCAAATTTAAAATCAGAAAATCAGCACATGTCAGTGAGTGAGTCTTTCAAATAATCCTTCGCCATGAAACCTGAGCCTAGTAAACTATGAAAGTAAACTCGGGACGTTACCTGGAAGTCTCAGTGTCATATTTTCACCTCCATCAATATTATTGATGCTTGCTCATTTTCTAATGTGGGACCTGAAATTTACCAGGTGCTTAAAGAATCTTTTTGTTTTTCAGATTCATTGATTCCGGGTAAATCAGAGGAACAAACAACATGAACAGAAATATGTAGAAAATGCTATTATGCTGAAGCATAATTGTTGTTTCAGAAGTCCAGCATCTGGTGCACTTAACAATAGAGAATATATTAAATTCTTCCCAAAATAACCTGTTGTTCATGCCTGTGTTTAAGTTTTTTGTTTGTTTTTAAGTAAATATTGGTGATTTGTTGCCAAAAACCTAAACTGTTTATTGCTGTCAACTTAACAAACAGGCTCCCTAAAAGAAAATGGCATTTATTCAGGAATAGAGCATTGCAATGAGAAAATGCATGCTATAGTTAACCGTGTGTATCCTGGGAGATTGAGGAAGACAAAGGTCTTTAAAGGAAAAATGAGGAGGGTTACATAATTGTTTTGAGGTAATTATTGTTGACTACAAGGATTAGTAACAAAGATGACGCCAGGCCCAGGTTGGACAGGCGGTTGCTCAGCAGGCATTGCAGATGTATTTTTTGTGTAAGGTTGAGATGGCCTTTGTGCAGGATTGTAGGTTTGCAATCTTTTGTGATTGTTTTTGCTATCAGGCATTTATGCTTGTGAACTCTTTGTGACTTTCCCTGTGTCTATTTTGATTCTGACATCTTTCTCATTGCCCACTCTAAACTAATTCTGCTTTTGTGTTGACTGACATTGGGAGAAGAATGTGCAAACGTATATCCTGAGACCGAGCAGTAATGAGGAGTGTCGTGTTCCTTACCTAATGTATAATATTGGGCTCAGAAGCACTTGTCTTTTTTGTTTGTTCAACGTTGTATTAAGTTGAGAACCCAGCTGCCATTAAAGATTAAGAGTAATCCTTGAGAAGGAAGAGTACAAAGCCTGTGTTTTGCTAAATCATAGTGAAGTTGCCGTGTTTTTGTAGAACATGATAAGAACATAGAGTGTGTGAAATGCTAAGGATATGGAAAAGCATGTTGGTGCTCTTTCAAGGAGCTGTTTTGATAGCATGACCAAGGGCAGGAAACAGATCGTGTATCCAAACCAAGGAAATTGAAACAATACATCTAAGTTTAAATTTTTAATAAAACAACCCAAAATATGGTGAAATACTTAGCACCAAACGTCAGTGATCAAAGAAAACAGTATTTGAAATATTTCGTCTAAAGTATCAACTTTTGCCTATATTTTGGCATTTTGGTTTTAAAATTCCTCTTTAGTCCTATGATGAAAACATGACAAAATATACAACTTAAATAAACAATTGTCATCAGTCTGCATCTATGGCCAAATGTTTTGGGTGTTTTGAGTAAATGGCCTTAGTTTGTGATCGTTTCCTGCCCCGTGGACATCAGTGAAGAGGTGAGGGTGGGAAGTACTCAGAAACTTCTGAGAATCCTGGGATTTGAGTCACAGGATGGATTAAACCCCAAACTAAATAATCATGCCATGTAAACATGCTGACTCAGGCATCCTAAAAATGTTTTTCTTGCGTTTATTTATAGATAAGGCTTTACTATATTTAGTAGAACTCCTGTTTTCTATCCACTTCTCCAAAAACAAATTGACCATTGAATTCATAGTGTAAACCTTCACATATCTGAGATAGCCCCTTTATCAGCCCCAAATGAAGAACTAGAGTTCAGATTATTAAACTGAAGGTGATGCTTTATCTGAGCACTCCACATGTCAGTGTTTCTGTACCTTTCCTTTTTAAAAAAATTATTTTTGAAGAGATGAGTTCTCAGTAGGTTGCCCAGACTGGTCTCCAACATCTGGTCTCAAATAGTCCTCCCGCCTTGCCCTCCCAAAATACTAGGGTTATAGGTGTGAGCTGCTGCACCGGCCCTGTTCCTTTTATACTCAGTGCTGCATTCTTGTTTGTTCTTAGAAAATGAGAGGGTGTGTTTGCATGAGAATGTGTGGTACAGAAGTGTCTATCTGAGCTGGCCAGAACATTCTGCAAATGTCATATTAAGGACAAGGTGACTGCTTGGATTGTACAAGGAGCCAAACCACCACACATTCCTAAGCTAAAATAGCATTTGGGACCCAGAGTTCTGTTGACCTGAGCTAGAACCTGAAACCTTTCTCTGTGGTGCACTGAGCTAACATCTAGCAGTTTTAGAGCATCACTGCAACCCTGGAATTAACTGGATTCCCTGACAATACCAAAAATAATGTGTAAGGAACTGAAGCAAAGTCCAGCCGTCAGAATTTTTCTAGTTCCTAATGTGGAGATAGAAATGCTTGTTGGATTTCCACTACCTCTATCTGACAAGGCAGCTGGTTTATTAATATTTCTTTGGCTGAGGCTTTGCTCATGACAGCCGCCCACATCTTGGAGACAGGAAGGCAGGCCAGCCTCCACTGTGTCACACAATTCCTGCTCCCTTCACCTGACCCAAGTCACTGGGTCACTGAAGAGAAAGGGCATGCTATAGATCTGGCTAGTTCAGTCTAGAATAGACTGTGGGAGATAGGTGAGCATTTATGAAAAGCCCAGATGCCATGACAACCCAGTTTTGTCCTGGAGTTTGGGGAGAGGTGTAGTACTGGGTTCTGGTCTTAAATGTTGCTGAGTACTTGAGTTCTTTTTGGTTTTCCTCAGATTTTTCCACATCTATTTTCCCCTTTCTGGATTTTGGACAAATCCAAATTGATGTCTGCTAAAGGTTGTATATAATTCAAGAATTTCTTCATATAAAGGCTGCAGGGTTGTAAGGAATCTGTGTGTACTTTCTCTGCTCCTAAATATTTACCCCCAAGTGTTATCATCTTGCATAGATTGTACTTTTTTTGTTAAATTTTTGTGTATATACGTGAATTCATTAGAACCATACATTAACCCTAGGATAACAGTTTTCAGACATTTTGGTCTCCAAATTATGTTTTTTTCCGAATATAATATGTTAGACATTAGCACTTGTGTCTCTAAGTTTTTTGCCTTCACATGCAATTTCTGTTCTCTTGCTGATTCATAGCATCGCCAATAAGTCCTGTAGAAAATC